CACCACAAGCCGTTCGCGGGAGAATACAACGTCACCTGCAGAAAGGCCTAACTGACTCACTGGATGAGGAGCAACTACAAATTCGGTGGAACTTGCATGGATTAGGATTATCTGCGTGAATAAAAGTTGGCGGGTTCATGCCCTAAATCCTCAGAATTTGTCAGCTATCCACACCCACAGATTTTATTGCCTGTTTATAGGTCACGGGGGTATTTGCGAAACACACTCGATAAGCGTGCGGTATGACCAGAACACACTGGTGCTTTCTCTCGAGATGAGACCAGCCCACACAAAACTCGCCAGCCAACCCTCGTTTTTTCTGCTGTCTTTCTGATGCAAAAATTTTGCCCGTGACCCTCCCACTCGCAGGCATGGGGTGGCGTGACACAGCTACACAACCCTGGTGCCTGCCGTGTCCCTTTGCACTGCATCCGAGCAGTGTTCCCAAGAACGTTCCCGATGCACGGAGCACACGGGCTATTTTCAGACTTGCAGAATCAGTTACTTGTCGCACAGGAGACACCCACACTGCAGGCTTGGGGAGACTTTCTGCTTTGTTCCTTGTAAACTGCTTGGATTTTAGATTAAACCAGGAAGCAAACAGAAAAAAAAAACAAACCACCAAATCCCTACACTTTTGCATGTTATGGGTGGAAATAGCAAAACATCTGCAAGACAGCAGAGATGTGTCCCCCTCTTACTCCTTTTCTGCAACAAGCTGCAACTCCAAAACCAAGACCTCCTGCTGCCTTCTACCTAGGGAACCTTGGAAGTATAGCAGGTAAGAAACCCAGATGACCTTTGTCTCCCAAATTATCTAATCCTCAGAGGAAAAGCAGCAATGACTCCCTGCAGTCATGTGGAAGTCCACGCACCTCAGCCTGAGCAGAGGGTGGATCTGACTCTGCCGTACCTGCCCCAACCCACACTGTTTTGGGCAAAACAGAAGTTTGTGGCATTCAGGGTTGCTGGCAATGGCTCTGCCTTGGTCAGCCCAGCCCCACTGCTGGCTCAGTATTTCTCTATTTGACCTGCAGCTTTGGTCTCCTTCCAAGAAGGCTTCTAAATGTAGGTGAGGTAATAATTTGAACAGATTAAACACTTCCAGAAGGGGAAGAGTGGAGTATTTCCAAGTTGATACAATAAGGACCAAATTAACAGAGAGGTCAAGAGTTCTGATTTGTAAAGACAGAAACTTGTTAATCCTGATTCTGAGCACAAAAGCTAAATGCTCCGTAGGCAGTCTCTCAGTCCAGTTGACTAATAACTGATAACAAAGCATGAATCCTGTTTGCCTTTAAGAGTAAGACT